ATTACATAATGCTTTATTAACATTAAGCTTTCTTAATGCTGATGAAAAAGGAAACACAGCTGCATAAAGACACTGGACAATAGAAAAAAACTTCTGAACTAAATCAGCCAGTGTACTTCAAGGATGTATTGACCTCAGAATGGAAAGCAGGATATGTGTTAAGTTGGGGTAGGGGGTTTCAAATCTGTATCTACAGGAGAAGAAAAACTATGAATACCATCTAAGTTAATCAAGATCCGAGTTGAACATGAGAAACATCTTAATGAAGAGAAATGACAAGTCATCCAACAAATTAAGTCCCATGAGATGTGTGGAGACCTCTCAAAGGTAGGGGAAGTGTTCTGATCTTGTTCTTACAAGAAAACAGAGAAAACCTATCTTCAAACAGTCAAAAAACACTGAACATGTAGGTACCTACAGAAGAGAAGACAGCTCTCCAGAAACAGTCACTTAATGAAGAGGAATCTGATTTATGGTAAAAATATTTAATTCTAGTAAACTATTTCTAATCAGAAATCGATTTCTCTTTACCATCCAGTATTCCTGTAGTCCCAATTCATGTAAACCAGTGCTGACTTTGGAGTTGGATTTGGCTTTCCTTCTCTAAATTGTTAAGATTCATGGTTTCTGCCTTAAATCAAGAAGGCAATTGGTGTAAGGCAGAAGAAAACAAAATCTGGGGACTCATTTCTTATACACAATTTTCTCTCTGAAATCCTAATTTTATCACATACATTTTAATGCTTATTTTTGCCTTTCCCTAATTCATACCTTAAAACTTGAAAATTTTACTTTAATATTGATGTTTAAGTTTTCCACAAGGAATAATAACGATTCCTAACAGCAGTCTTTGAACTCTCCAGAAAGAAGATGGCCCCATGTCATCGTATCTACTTGACTCAACCTGATGCATCTGGACTACAAACCTCACCCTAAAACCGGTTTGAGACTGTTTTGCTTAAGACAACTCATGACTAGCTAGCTGTAATGGTGCACCTTCTTATTACACTCTGGCCAGAGTTTCAAATAGAACTATAGTCAAGAATTTTCTGCCACGCAGTGACTAGCTACATATGTCACAGCCAGTTCTGTTGAGAAATTTGGTTGCTAAAAATTTTCTTCCTACAGGATCCCATGGAGCAATCATCATCCCATTTCAGCAGGAAGTAACCTTAAGATAACGACTCCCCCTTTCCCTACCCTTGGAATTTGGGGATAATAGTCATCTTCTTTGGGTTGGTTTTAGTTATTTAGGGTCGGGTATGGAAGGTGATTCTTACACTTGGGTTTATCTTTTAGACAGGAATAGGGTATGGTTGGGAAAGGTATGGTTTAGATGGGATATAGGTAGATTAGCATATTTTCTTGTGAATTATTAAGAGTGAGATAATAGTATTTTACAGCTTACATTGTTATATATTCTTATTTGTGGTAAGCTATGTAAAATTAAGTTTATATTTTGTTATATTGTGTGAAATCTTTCCACTTATGTTTTATGCACATTATTTTTACCATATTCTATGTGTATATACTTTTACTTATGTTCAAGACATTTTGTATATTGATACAATTTATGCACATTTATTCTTGCCATATTCTATGCATGTATACTTTTCTTGTATTCAAGACATTTTGTATATTGATACAATTTGGGATATTTATCATGCTGCCATTTATAGTTCTACCTCTTGTCTTGACATTTCTACTCTACCTCTATTTTAGGGATTTATATGTATGTATATGTACATAGTTATATTGTTTAGGTATTTGTTCCTGCTTTACTCAGGGAAATTTCAATCAGTTTTTTAGCTAAGTTCCTGAGTATTACAGATTATCTTCACTCATGTTTCCTTTACCTATGAGATTAGTCAGACACAGATGCTTAATCTTCAATCACTTCATAGACATGCAGAACATGGCATTTAAATGTTTTAATATTAGTACTCTGTTGACATGAGACACTGTTGCTCCTGACAGCACCATGCACTTTCCTGAAAATATGTTGGACACTGTTGTTGCTCCTGCTGGAGTTCATTCTTGCCTTAGCTAATGGCCTCTTGGGCAAAGAACTGCCCCCACCTTGACCACTGATTTGGACATGCAGTCCTATGTGCTTGCAGGAGACAACTATAGAAGACTGCTGGACCTTGCCAAGTCAGGGTAAGACAGCCTTTCTACCTCCCTGCTTTTGTTGTGGTCTGTCAAGTTCTCTTGGCCTTAGCCAAAACTGGGTGTACCAACATTGCTGTGAGACCTTGGGTGACTGTCCAGGTAGCTTGCTGTTTCTGTCCTCACTGCACCTTTTGGAAGTTGCCCATCCATACTTCCTGTCCACCCTAGTATCATTATTTCCCTTCTCAGGTCTTGATGAGGTTGAAGATTAAACTATCACAACTATTATTCTCTCTTCCTAGTTAGCTATATTAGGTACTAGACTTAGGTTTTCCAGCTTAGGACAACTCTATTGTAAACTCTGTTATGCCTTCACCCTAGGACTAGATATGTAGGTCGTTTTGTTCTCGATTTTCCTTTTCTTAGAGCACACTTGTTATTCATGGTTTTGTATATAGTTTTGTATCAAGCCTAAATCTTTTCTTTAGACTAAAAGGGGAATTGTAGTGGGATATTCACTTTGTCTCCTTCTGTGGCACTGACCATGCCCATTGGTGGGTGGAGCCAGGGGTGGAAGTGACCTGTGGAAGGAGGTCTGAGGAGGAGCCGAGGAGAGGAGAGCATCCGGTGGAACTTGCTGGTGTTCATCTGTCTAGGTTGTAAGTTATTTCTCCCTGAATAAACATCTATTCAGCCTATTTGTTTATCCTGATTCTTATCTAAATGCAACAGTTTCCTTTTCCATTTACCATACTAAGACAACCATTTCTAGAAGCCAGGTATGGTGACTCACACCTATAATCCCACACTTGGGAGGTTGAGACAGAAGGGTTGTTATGAGAGTTCAAGGCCAGCCTGGGCTTCATAGAGAGTTCTAGGACAGCCTAGGCTATTGTGTGTGGGCTCCTGTCTTTAAAAAGAAAGAAAAGGAAGGAAGGAAGGTGTTTACAGGTATCCCTGGTCTTGATAATGTAGGCCTACTTATAACATTAGACTTATGAGGTGAGGCTGACGCAGGAGGATGCCAAGTTTGAGACCATCTGGGCTATGCAGAGACCCTAATCTGAAAACGCAACACAAGCAGGTTGAGCAGATTTTCCAGAAGAGTAATAGAGTAGTCCAAGAAGGTCTTCTCCATAAGGTAACATTTGAGGGATATGAATGAAATTTGAGGAAGAGTATTTCTGGTCAAGTGAAGAGCAGGTACAAAGGTCCTGAGACAGGAAGACTAGGGAGGGGTGGAAATAGGTAACTGTATAGAGCAATCTTTTGTTGTTGTTGTGTTTGGTTTGGTTTTTTTGAAACAGTTTCTATGAGTAGATTTGGAGCCAGCCTGTCCTGGAACTTGATCTGTAGACCAGGCTGGCCTTGAGCTCACAGAGATCCACCTGCCTCTGCCTCCCGAGTGCTGGGATTAACGGCGAACACCACCACTGCCTGGTTTAAAAGGCAATTTTATGATCCAGGCCAAGATGACGGTGGCTTGGTTTGTGATGATTGCAGAAGAGTTGCATGTGAACTCTGATAGCAGTGACAAATGTGCTGAGGGACTGGGAACAACATTTGGGAGCGAGGATAGCTTTCAGGTTTTGGTTGTTGGGAACTGGGCAAACAATGGTGCCTATTTCTGAGGGAGAAGAGGATGCAAGCAGACTGTAGGGATTCGGTTGTTATGGGCAGGATTTGTTCAGTTGAGATAATGAAGGAAGATGGAGGTTGGGGAAGAAATGTGGGCCAGAGACAGAAGATTTGGGTGTCATAAGCCTACAGTTAATAGGTTCACACCTAAGTAATAAGTAGAGACATTAAAAAAGCCTCAGGGAACATAGCCTAAGGACCCCACCAACAAATGGAGATGAGGAGGACAATCAAAAAAGAGGCTAGAGGAGTGGTCAGGAAAGAAATGGACATTTTATATGATTGCAACCAAATATCAAACAGCTCAGCCTGTTTTGAGACAGTTAACAACCCCTGTTTCAGTGCATATACTGGTTAACAATAAACTCCAAGTACAGGAGTAGCTGGGATTGATTAGTTAACATTTCTCATCTCAAGGGTTCTCACCGCAGGGCAAGGACACATGATTGTAGGGATGGGACTGGCAGAAAACTGCATTAATTCCCAATCAAGTCTAGAGAACAACCTGTTTTGCATCCTACACTGTCGCACCTAGAACCAAGCTGGGCTGGCCCCTGAAGTTCCCCAACTGGAACACCAAAGTGGGAGTTAAGCGACCTGGTCATTTCACTCATTGCAAGACTCCCCCGTAAGCCGCCGCTCCTTGCTCGTCCTCCTTACAGTCAGGCGGACCCAGAGGATCTTCGGAACGCCCCAGAGAATCCGTCCGCTGGCCTCGCGGGGCATCGAAGCTTGTTTCCTAGACGACCTTTCTCCGCTCCAGTTTCTCACTACCCCCAAGGGCTACCCGCCAGTCCTCTTGGCCTCACACGCTGCTGTCCCACACCCGAGTCTTTAGGTACGTCAGGAAGTGGTGGGCCGTCCGAGAGCAGCTCGTTGAACGAGGAGGCACGGTCTGAAGAGACTTATGCCCCACGATGAACGCTAGAAAGAAAAGCCGAGCGCCGCTGGGCGTGTGATGCCGGCTCAACCCCTGGATGCAGTTGGGCTGGCGGAGCGCCACGTTCAGTCCCCGGGAACCGCTGCGCGCTGCATCCCACCCTCCCGAGGGCCCGCCCCTCAAGCCCCGCCCTCCCTTAGCCGCCTGAAACCCCAGCAGAAGGTCCAGCCCCTCAGTCTCTTCCCCAGGCCTGGTCCCTCAAGCCCCGCCCTCCTCAGAAGACCCGCGTCTGGGCCCCGCCCCCTTAGGTTCCGCTCTCCTCGCCTTCTGAAAACCCGGTTGGGCCCCGCCCCCATCGGAGGCCCCGCCCCGTGCCCATCCGAGCCTGTGGCTCCCTGCTGGTCTCTCCCGAGTCCCGCGGCCCCGGGTGTCGGCTTTCCGCCGCAGGCGGCCGGCGCTGTGCTCCCTCACCCCCCCTCGGCCCCTCCCTCGATCTCTGCGGTCGGGTTGTCCCTGGCGGGTGGCCTGCGGGCGGGCCGCCCTCTCGGCCGTAGCCCACCCCCTCTTAAAGCCGCGGCGGGAAGATGAGGTTCCGTGAGCCGCTCCTGGGCGGCAGCGCCGCGATGCCGGGCGCGACCCTGCAGCGGGCCTGCCGCCTGCTCGTGGCCGTCTGCGCGCTGCACCTCGGCGTCACCCTGGTCTATTACCTCTCGGGCCGCGACCTGAGCCGCCTGCCCCAGCTAGTCGGGGTTTCCTCTACACTTCAGGGCGGCACGATCGGCGCCGCCGCCAACAAGCAGCCCCCAGGAGAGCTCCGGCCTCGGGGCGCGCGGCCGCCGCCTCCTGTAGGAGTCTCTTCGAAGCCTCGCCCGGGTCCCTACTCCAGCTCTGGTGCGGCTTTTGACCCCGGCCTGAAGAGCAACTTGACTTCGGTCCCACTGCCCCCTACCACTGCACTGTTGACGCTGCCCGCTTGCCCCGAGGAGTCCCCGCTGCTTGGTAAGAACTAGGATCCGAGGTCAAGGACCCCTCGGATTTTCTCAACAGGGTCCCCGGGAAGATTACCCTGTGATCTCTTTCAGGACTGGCAGCCTCCAGGTTTTGATCAATGTTTAATCCCCAAGATGGACTTCGGGGCTGACCCGGGAGAGGTTTGCTGGTGTCTCAGCAGCTGAGGCCCTGTTGGATAGCCCTCGGGCTCTTCTAGCCCCAGCGCCAGAGAAGGCCCTGGAAACACTCTTGTTCTGGCCTGTGGCTCAGGAAGTTTTAGACTTGGGGTCGGTTTAGGTTAGACGGTAGAATGAAAGTCTACTTCCAGTCTTGCCTACCCGTAGCAACACCGGTAGCAGCTTTTGAGGTTTGAGAACAGGACCGACAGTGAGCAAATCATCTCCTTCACCACCCTCTACACCGCTTTGACCTAGTGACTTAACTTTCTCTTTAAGGTTTCTTTTTGGTAAATGGAGATAATAAACCTCATCTTTTTTAGGGAGTTGTTTTGAAGGAGTAAATGAAACACTGTAACTAAGAGTTTAAATAATGAGGACGAACTTTTAGAAACTTGTTACAATTGTGGTATTTCCTCCTATTTGTAGGTCCTGGACCAAGGGGCCTTCCGTTCCCCCACCCCAAGTTCCTCCTCCTGAAGGTTCCTCTTAACCGAAGTGAGCAGGGCCCTCTCCAGGGGCAGAGAGGGCCTGTGTACTCAGGGGACTGGAGGGCTAAAATTAACCAGATGGCTGGGGGCTGCACTTTCTTTCCTGGCATTACTTGCCTAGCAGATCTGAACCCTGGCCTTCACCAGGCAGGGAGCGGGTAGATAAGTTTACATTTCTAGTACTAGGAGGCTGGCCCAGGGTAGACCTCTGACCTGAAGACCACAGGTTGCTGCCACTGTTACCAGCCAGGTGGATGCTCATTTTGAATGCCAGGTTTTAGAGAGTGTTGTTCGGAGGAGCCCCACCTCGCCACAAACAGGCAGGCAGACTACCAGTAGTTCAGTCACGTTCTCGGAGATCCCTGGCAGAGCAGGCCTTACTATAGTCTCTTACTCAATTTCCCCAGTAATTACTTAAGTATTTTCATATCAAGTTTGGGAGGAACCTCTTGGAATTGGCCAACATGAGCAGAAAATTGAATTCCTTTGGACTTGGTTGTTAATCTGGGAAACAGGAATAGTCCTATGGAAAGTGAAGTAGAATATTAGTCCTACTGATAAATGTTTGACTTCAGGCATATAGTATTCCTTCCTAGTGTGTAAAATAGGCTTGTCCGTGCTTACCTTACAGGGTTATTGTAGAACTAATTGAGATTGTGTACATAGTAGACAATACAAGATAGCAAGTATTCAGCAATACAGTTTGAGGTTTTGAAGTGCTGTTTTCTTAGACCTCTACGGAGGTGACACTAAAGAACACAGTGTAGACGGAAGTTTCTGTCCCGCCTGGTCCCTCAGCTGTCGTGGTCCCCAGACCAGAGTGTCTGGGCCTTTTGCTTTGCTTTTTTGGTTGTTGCCTGGCATTATGCAGATAAAAGACAAATTAGTAAAGTACTCAAGGGCCAGGGACATAGCTCAGTCAGTGGAGTGCTTGCCTATCATGTAGAGGGCCTTTTGTTTGATCCCAGCACCACATAAAACTGAGCATGGTGGTACATGCCAGTAAGTGTAGCAATTGAGAGGTGACAGCAGGATCAGAAGTTCAAGGTCATCTTCTTATGTGTAATAAGTGGAGGCTACCTTGGGAAACATCAGACCCTGATTCAAAATGAAAACCAGCTACCCATGTTTGTTTGGAGTATAGGGTCTTTCTCCTGAAATATGAGAGACAGTGGTGACTATAGTCTTAATGGGCTTGGTATGGTAATGTGGTGTTGCTAAATTAATTCTCAAATAGAAAGCTCAAAAGGACCTTCCTGAGAAAGGACAATTTAGGCAGTGTAGCCAGAGGCCTGGGCCTTTTCTAGTCTGTCTACCTCCATGTGACTTGCATGGGACTGATGTTTAGGCTTCTGCTGAGGCCACAACTGCAGAAATGAAGGTAGAAGTTTTATTTATTTGTTTGTTTGTTTAATTGAGCTCATAGATTTGAATGGTTAGGTGCAACTTTTGGAGGACAGTTCCTGGCTAGAAGGAATCTTAAGAAAGCTTTAAATCTGTCAGGGACTCTGTGTGTGTGTGTGTGGGGGGGTAGTTGAGCCCATCTGTTCCTCTGGGCAGGTGTCAGCCAAAGCCCTTGGCCGTGGTTTTGAGGCTGGTGGGAGAAAGCACCCCTGGGGGTTAGCATAGTGGCCCTTTCACTACTTGCAGTTCCTTTCCTTGACTTCCCTCTACTTTCTGGTGTCCAGCGGTCTAAGCCAGATGCTTGGATCTTTTTCAGTTGATAGCTGGTGACTTTGAGGTTGTAGGGGCCCACACCAGGCTGCTGTTAGGTTGCTGTTTGATCTGTCTTTGGCTCATCAGATAGGCTGAGGTTAGAATCGTACTTCTGCAGTATGTGTGGTTGGGGACTAACTGTATTGTTTGGAGTACTAGTGGTGGTGGGGATTCCTCTCCCCTTTGGGGCTAGTGTGAGTCCCTCGATACCCGTCCCATCCTCCATGATCCCAGTGTGGGCTACAGGGGTTAGTTGGCAATTCCTGAGAAGTTCTCCAACTTGCCCAGAAATTTCTAGTTAGTTCAGGCTTTTTCTTCTAGTGCTGGGACAGCCCCCAGGTAACTGTGTACCATGTACTCTACTGGCCATGGCAGTGAGGCTCTTTTCTGGTCACCTGGATCTTTGCCAGAGATGGGAGGAGCCACAGCCTTGAGGTTCTTTCCCGGAATGTTCATGTGTTTCCAGAGTGTTTTATCTGCTCGTATTTGGCACAGCTCACCATGATTTGACTGGCAGTGGCACAGGCATTTTGGGTGTGGTGTTGATGGAGAAGGTAGCACAGGCTGGATTAATTGGTGGAAGCAGTGTTGGCTGGCAGAGCTGGGGCCTGGGATAGATAGTACAGATCCTTCAAGGGGCAGTGAGTTCCAGGAAACTTAAACATTAGAAGCCCCTCTTGCCCAACTATGCTTTAAGGAGATACCCTTCATTTGTTCAAAAGGATTAGTGTGTGTGTGTGTGTGTGTGTTGCTTCTATTTATTTGTGTGAGTGTATATGTGAACCCACATGCCATGCTGTGAGTGTGGAGATTGGAGGACAGCTTGTGAGAGTCAATAGTTTTCTACCCTGTGGGTCTTCCAGTATATGGTTTTAGGGATGAAACTCATGTCAATCTTGTTTGCAAGCACCTTTATTTGCTAAGCCATCTAGAAACAAACAGGAACTTAGGTAACCAAGGCCCTGTTAGAGTACTTGTTCATTAGCCAATTTCCCTGATTTTTGAAGGGTCCTTTTAACTGAGCCTTTGCAATGGCTTGTGGTGTACTTGGTAGGTCTCTCTCTGCTGGACTCTTGGCTCTCAGGCATTTCTCTGTATCATGCTGCTGTCTTCACCCATGTGTGCACATGCAAACACAAGCAGGCTAATTAGAACAGCCTGTACTGTGAGACATTGGAGAGGTCTGTCCTTGACTTACCCATTCTGGGGTGACTCTTGGAACCTCATTACCCGCTGTTTTAGGGTGGAATCTCATTCTGGGTGTTAAAAAAGGTGCAGAGATCCTCACTTGGATGCAGATCTTGCAGCTTTGAATTTGGGTAACTAGTCCTTTGAGCCAGTTTTGTCTTGCTGCTTTTCTCTGGAGGCAATAGCGTAATGATGTACACACAGATCCCACTGTCTTTATCTAACAGTCATATTAGACATACCCTAACCTACCTAGAGCAGAGATGTTCGTTCCAGGAAAAGCGTTAGAAGCCCTCATCTCTCCCCATCTCAGCCACAGTCAGGTACTCATAAAGTAAAAACATGATTGCCAGAATTCTTCAGAAATATCCTCCATGACAGTCTGAATATTTTGTTTTGTTTTGTTTTCAAGATGGTTTCTCTGTGTAAACAGCATTGGCTGTCCTGGAACTCAGAGATCCTCCTACCTCTGCCTCCTAAGTGGTGGAATTGAAAGCATGCGCCACCACTGCCCAGCAGTCTGGATCTTTTTACGGTGAAACCTGGTCATTTTTCCCAAATAGCATTTTGGCAAGAAAAGTGATCCCTGCCTGTTGTTTATTCTGTACTTGCTAGGGATGTGGCTCAGTGGTTGCATATACGACATCTTGGGTTTAATCCCAGCACTGGGGAAAAAAAACCAACCGAAAAACCCCCAAACCATCCCAGGTTCTTTCTGAACAAGTATGGGAACCACCTTGGCTGGAGGGCATCAGATGATCTGATAGATGTTTCTTGGGATATGGAAAACAAGAGCCAAATGTGGACTTGAATTTAAACCATGGTTTCTTGGTTTAGCATTCCTAGAAGGGACTTGATGGTATTCTTGTCTCAGGTTAATGCCCAGAGAGATTTATCTAGAGGACCAGGAGTTGCCTTGATATGACCCAAAAATTGGAAAGAAGATCCTTGTAAGGCATGCATGTGCATCCCTTCCTCTGAAAGGACTTATGTGGATGTTGGGATGACTCTGGAAACTAAATTCATTTACAGTGTGTACTGTGTGGAGCTCTAGAGCTATAAGGAAGGAAAAGGGTCTCCCTTGTAGCAATTTACGATTTAGGTAAGAGAGACATAATTACTATTCTAATGTCTCTGAACTCTGTGTGTGTGTGGGGGTGTGTGTGCGCCCCTTTACTATCAAGAACATGCAAGGGTCTGCCTCAAAAGCTTTTGCTCAGGGTTCAGAAAGAGACACTACAATAAATGTAGGATCTTCTCATGTTCTTTCTATTCATGTGCTCATTATTGTTCTCTTTACTGTTCCCTATTCTAATTCTTTTGTCCTGATTGTCTATAATTCCCTAGCTCTAATTCTCTGTCTTTATTCTGATTGTCTGCTTTATTCTTTCTTCTTCATTTTCCTATTGACTTACTTTTTCTGCATTCTTATCCTTTT